CTGAGACACCTGGGGGCTGTGACTATACAGTATGGTCCTTGTCGCCAGGAATTCATAGCCTATTCCGTTAACCACTGCGTTTTGCTTCTGAGACTTGGAGAAGCTGGTATGTGCAGGGGATTGTGAGCCAACTCTTTTGTGTTGTGTGTTTTTTACAGCAATTTAAGAAAAAAACACCTTAACCATTTGACCAAAAAAAGTTATACAAGTTTTTTATTTTTTAAAAAGCTGTAGCTAACTCTTAAATATTTGTGGTTGTTACAAGAACATAAATGGTCTGAACAAAGTTAAGGAAAAGATGCCAAATCACAATTTATCCACTAGTGGCGGCTTCTTTTTGAATGAGCATTTCATGATCATTCATGATCATTCATGATCAAGACTTCTAGAAAGTATAAGTTAAAAAAAAGTCATCTAAGGATCTTAAAATGTCATTTTAGGATTCTTTCTTAAATTCTAAGGAAGAAATGCCAAGAAACTGTGAAATGACTAAAAGTTGGCAGGCTAATGTGCAGAGGGAAAAGGCTGGCTGGGGTGATCCACAAAATCATTGGTCACTATACAGAAAGTTGGGGGTAACCTGCTGGCTGGCTTGTAGAATTAGTGACCACTAACGAGTGTCCCGTTTCTTTTGCCCATTGGTACAAAACAGTGAGACCGTTTAAGCGGAAGCATCTTACCGCCATCGACTGCCAGCATTTGGCTCTGAGTCATTTGTCTGCGTCCCAGCCGTTCGGTCAAAGATGGACAAGCAGAGACCCGAACCATGGACTGTATCCTAAACCCAGAACGAAAAGAGGGAGTAGGGGTATGTCTTCCAAAAAAGCATCTTGCATTTCAAAATCTGTAGTGTGTGCAGCCTTTGAGTATCTCCCAGTTTAAAAGCATTTGTAAATGTTGCTGCTGTGATTTTGTAGTCCTGTTGCAATAGTTTGACACCTTTTTCGTTATTCGTGAATTTTCCATGAAAATTCCATCCAGTCACAGTGGCTGGTAAAAGCCCTGGGAGAATGTGATAGATGGAGTCTCGTTAGCTTGTGTAATTACAAAGCGACAGAAGACATAGGTCAGTATCACCTTCATTCCAGTCCAGAAACACTGTGATTACTGGGCTTTTCATTAGTTGTCTTGGTCCAGTTTGTCACTAGGTCCACGTGTGATGATCTTTCCTGAGCTGTTTGTCACCTAGTGCCTAGACCACTGCAGGAACCCTTCTCCGGGACTGCAGGTTTTCTCTCTTCCAAATCAGCTGGGACATGTGTCATTAAGTTACTTTTCTTGTACATGGTCATTTCCGTGTCACACCCATTCTCGGGACCCCCAGATGCTGTGATGGACTCAGGCTCACACTTGCTGTCACCACGTGAGAGTCCCACTCCCAGCAGGTTGAGTCTCCTATTCTCCTTCTACGTGCCACACGAATTCCTAGTTTTGTTAACACCTGGTAGAATCATCTGGATTGCCTTATTTTCTTCTGATGTATCTAATTGCAGAGTCCAACTCAACTATTAACTAGTCTTTAAGTAATATGTGTGTTTCTCACTTTGGGGAACTGCCACAGCCAGTTGTACGAGGCTGTCTGAAACTTTCTTGAACTCTGTCTGATGTTTAGCTCGTGCCATGTGTCAGCTCTGAGCAGGTGGCAGGCTCTGAATGACTGTGGGGGTGGCTGGATGTGACAATTAGAAAATACCAAGATTAAACCCTGGCCATACTGACGTCAAACTCTAGGTTTCTATCAGGTTGCCCTAGAAGCAGTTATAATTTTTTTTCCTAATATAGAAAAAGTAGGAGTTTCAGTTTCGTAAATTCTATTAGAGACTAAACCTAGTGTCGGTCCATTCTCTTATTTTCCAAAGTGAGAATTTTGGCTGCAGCCATTTAGAAAGGAACCATGTGTATTATGTATATTGATAAGATGTTTAACTACTTCATTGGCATTTTAAAATAATTTTTAGGAGTCTGAAAATGCCGTGGTGATGTGTGAAGTCACCATTTGGGTTTCTCTACGTACCTGAAAGTCTTTTTTTTTTTTTTAAACCTTATATTAAGCCTTGAAAGAATTGACTGAAATTTGGAAGGGTGATTTCTAAAGAAGCTGGGGGCTGGGGAGGAATAATAATAGAAAATGTAAACTATACCAGTTCTGTTCACTCGTGTCTTGCTTTTATATATCTTCAAGCTTAAAGGAAATGTTAAGTGCAATTCTGACATTTGATACTGCAGTTTACTTGAGTATTTTTAGGACTTGTAAAAACATGGTGCTGGTGGGAACTGGTTTTATTCTCTCTTGACCATCTCCTGTAAAGGGTAACTTTTATAATTCTTTTTTTAAAAAGTGTATCTATTATATTTTAAGCTTTGACACCATAAGGAGGTGGCTAGATTTTACATGCACTAACAGATACAGAAGCACAAAGAATCTTGGTTTGAAAGAGAATTATTTGACAGAAAATGAGCCAGGGGGCCAGGTACGGTGGCTCATGCCTGTAATCCCAGCACTTTGGGAGGCCGAGGTGGGAGGATCACTGGAGGCGAGGAGTTCAAGACTAGCCTGAGCAATATAGTGAGACCCCGTCTCTACAAACAATAGAAAAATTAACCGGGCGTGGTGGTGCACACCACCAGCTACTCGGAGGCTGAGGCAGGAGGATCGCTTGAGCCCAGGAGTTTGA